CTATCCTGTAAGTCCTTTGCACATTGTCTTGTCTTGTTTTCTATATTGGACTAAGTTTATGTTACACTGTGGTCCCTGAGCTTCGCCATTTTGTCTCTCTGTATACTTATATATGGTGGAGATGACAATGAAGTTCACTTTGACTTTGACTTTGATCTTGGGGGTCTTTGTTCACGGTGCGGCAATTTGGACAAAGAGGGAACTGAGCTGGAAGGCAAAGCTCTCAATTTACCAGTTGATCTACGTTCCTACCCTCACCTATGGTCATGAGCTCTGGGTAATGACCGAAAAAATGAGATTGCGATACCAGCAGCAGAAATGAGTTTCCTCAGTAGGGTGTCTGGGCTCAGCCTTAGAGAGAGGCTGAGGAGCTCAGACGTTCGGGCTCAAAGTAGAGCCGCTGCTTCACTGCATTGAAAGGAGCCAGCTGATGGTTCAGACGTCTACCTGGGATGCCCTCTGGACGGCTCCCTGGGGAGGTGTTTCAGGGCAGGTACTACATTATATATAGATTATATGTTATATATTAGATTAGATAAGGGCCACAAAATGGATGGATGGAACTGCATTGAAAAATAACGCTACTTATGAAAGTAGGCAATTAAGAATTTCAAGTTAGAATTTCCTTGTACACGACACTGCTTTTTAAAAAACTTATACTTAATTTTGAAGACGCTGTACACAGGACACCATAGTGTTCGGAATATTTTCTTTCTTGCCTCTGAAAATATACAGTTCTGGCCACTCATTCTTAAAAAAATCAGATGCTACTTTAATACTATCTGTACTGTAAGTAAAGACAATGTCCCCTGACAAAACGTCACCATACTGCCACCCCAATAAAACTGTAACATACATATGAATGCGTGTGCATGTGTGTGCAGACTCACGCCAGCCAGTTGATTAAAGTTGGCAACCCTGTGAACTGTATATTCACTTATCTGAATTTGTAAAACGTAGGGAGACATAAACAGACATCACTGCTGTGGTACGTGTGCAGGGAATATCAGAATAAGAATTTACTAATAATAATACTTAAATAGGACACATGCGCATGTGCACAGTACACAGCTTGACCGATGAAGTGTTGCGATTTGCGGGGAACCAGCCTAGATGCGTCAGCGTCCGCACGCTGCTGGAGAGAGGTGTGTGTCCAAAGTGGTTTGAAAGAAGTTCATATTGAGGCGGAAAGACAAACTCACTTTTAGTGGTATAATTTTATGGTTAATATGTTTAATGAATTTTGTTTGTAATTTTATTTACCTGTAATTAAGCATATTAGTT